TGATTCATTTTCACTTGTAAAAAAGCCATATTAGCTTCTCATTAATGAGTATAATAAAAAGATGAAACCAATTTCACCATGGTGGTGTGCAAATATTGTAAAAATATTATAAGATGAAGGTATGGAACGCCATCACTGCCTTATAGCATACAACTATGCATTTATTACGTCAATTTATCATTACGTGATGTGAACATATCTTTACGTTATGTCCATTTTTTATGGGATGATGAAAATATATCTTAACATCATGTCAATGCTGCATTACATGAAGTAAATACATCCTTTCATTATGTCAGCACTTCATAACTTGAAGTAAAAAATTCACTATGTGAAGTGATAATGTGTTTACATTGTGTTAAAACTTTATTATGTGAAATGAATGTTTCTTTACATCATTTCATTTCTTTAATATGTGAGGTCAAAATTGCATTACGTCAAGTAAATTGTGTTTTATAATTAAACTTATCATCACATGAAGTCAAAAGCCCATTCCTTTTTGAGAGTGTATATTTCTACTGTATCAAAGTATTATTACGTGATATGGATTTATCTTTATTTTACGGCGAGGGCATCATGATGTGAGGTGAACACATCTTACCTTTATGTCAGTGCTTTATTACGTGGTGTAAAAAGTGTATAACATAATGTGAACATATCTTTATATTATATCAACACTTTATTACATTATGTCAAAACTCCATACCGTGATGTGGATATATTATAACGTTATGCCAACTCTTTCTTATGTGATTTAAAAATATCTTTATATTGTGTTAACTCTTTATCATGTGGATTCCAAGTTCATTACCTGATGCAAAAATACATTTACATTATCTCAAAGCTGTATATCTAGTATATAATAAATGTTGACGACCGTGTTTTAATGACTGGTAAGAAGGGGGGGGGTCGTGATTGATTAGGACAAATTACAGGCACATAATATCAACCCCCCTCTTTTCCCAGACATAACTTTACTATAGAAAATGTAATGTTCATTGAAACTGTACAGCCCCCCCCCCCCCACTTCTTGTTGAAATATAGTCCACTAAGGGTAATATAATATAGCTGGAAAAAAATAGGATTGATTGAAGTTGGACCACTCTCCCCGAAATAGGATTTTCGGGCTTGGACATTTTTTCTCTTGGCTTGTCTAGTTTTTTCGGATAGATGATTTTTTTTACTGGCTGACCTCCTCTTTCAAAAAAATGATGCTACGTCACTGGAGTTAGTAATTTTTTTTAATCATTCCAGGGCCAGAATTCTATTACAAAAATCTACCAGTCGCTCATCTAAATCAATTGAATATGCCTTAGTAAGCATGCATGGGCACATATCAGTGGCAGATATGGGAATCTTGAACAAGGAAGGGGGGCGGTATATGGTTGGAGACCAAGGGCGGAAAGCGGAGAAGCTCTCAGACTTTATAGTTTTATAGAAAAAAGTTTTCAACTTAATTCAGCTAAACTTAATGTGAAACTAATGCAATGTCCTACAAAGTTTAAGACTTTTATAAAAAAAAAAAAAAAAAAAAAAAACAATTCAAAATAAAAAGAAAAAAATGATTGCTGCACGACTTATAATATTTGATTTACCGGTATTTAATTATCTACGGAAGCCCATTGGTGCCACGTACGAAAAATATTTTAACTGGCGGCCGCCACATATTATTTGGCGGCCGCCACTTGTATATCTGGCGGCCGCCACAAAATTATGTGGCGGTCGCCACTTATTATTTGGCGGCCGCCACTTATATATCTGGCGGCCGCCACTTAATATATGGCGGCCGCCACATAGTTTTTCTGGCGGCCGCTATATAATATCTGGCGGCCGCCACATATTTTTCTGGCGGCCGCCACATAATTTATCTGGCGGGCGCTATATAACATCTGGCGGCCGCCACATGATTTATCTTACGGCCGCCACTTATTTAATTGGCGGCCGCCAAATATTTATCTGGCGGCCGCCACTTATATATCTGGCGGCCGCCACATAATTTATATGGCGGCCGCCAGATAACACCTGGCTTCCTGAATCGCGCGCATGTGTTAATGTGTGGTTTAAGAGGTGGATACAGTGTAAAAATTATAATAGCAACATCAATCAACCAAACTTGTAAGAGATTTATTATGAACCAACACTCCAATCCACACTTCTGATAGATATGTTTTTGCATAGAGCAGATTAATATTTGGTTTGAATTATGCAAGTATTTGTAGAGTGTTTCGATTATTAAGAAGCCCCATCAGGGGTCACGGACATAAATCATGGTGTTTGCTGTAAGCTATGATTGGTTGAGAATTAAATGAAGTTTTGCATTTTGGATTTCCAAGAATGGTGTTCCAATATTTCAGAATTCGTTTTTTATCATTTACTTTTTTATCAATAAGCAGCGGTTGTGTCAACATCCATCTTCTTAACCCAATAACACTCACCTTTTGCAAAATAATTTATGTGGCGGCCGCCATATAAATTATGTGGCGGCCGCCAGATATATAAGTGGCCGCCAGACAAAATATTTTTCATACGTGGCACCAATGGGCTTCCGTAATTATCAGATTAAAGTAAACACCATTGAATTTCGACGTGACTTTAATTCACAGTCGCAGTGTTAAGGCTTTGCATGTTTCAAGATTTTCAATCATTTGTCGCTTAAAGTTTTCATTTAAAGATGTCATTCCGAAATCGCTGAGAATCTCTTCTACGACAGTTTTCTTTCCCGCCATTTTAGTGCTTGCGGAACGCGGAAAATACGTTATGCTCATATAAAGGCCGAGGATACCCGCGTTCGCATAACGTAATAGTGAATCGACATAATGTAGAAGAGTGCGCACAGTATGGCATGAGCTTTTCACATCAGTTAATAAAAACTAAGATTGTCATGAAAAGTAAACATAACGAAATGCAAGTTGACGAAATAAAATTGTAGTATGTGTAAATGTCATAAAGAGTTGATATAATGTAAAGGAAAGTTAACACGATGCAATAGTAGTGTGGGTTAATGTCATAAAGAGTTGACATAATGCAATGGAAGGTTGGCACAATGCAATAGTAGGGTGGGTTAATGTCATAAAGAGTTGACATAATGTAATGGAAGGTTGACACAATGAAATAGTAGTGTGGGTTAATGTCATAAAGAGTTGACATGATGTAATGGAAGGTTGACACAATGCAATAGTAGTGTTCTGCTATAAGGCAGTGACGGCGTTCCATATGAAGGTCTATTAATGGTTGCCAGTCTACAAAAGACACCAAGGGACGGTGCTTCAGGAAATGCATGAATTCTAGTAAAATATCTAAAATGAATAAAAGGTTGCATTCCTCCTCATGTCTTATGTAGATAGGCAAAAAGAGCACAATTATAATTTACAAAAATTAACAATGTAGTAATGTTCAAACATCATATACAATATTTTGATATGAATTGACTTAGTAATCTTAAGATTGTCTCATTTTCATTTGTAAAAAGCCATATTAACTTCTTATTAAAATCAAGATTAGGGAAATTGGTACATATGTCTGAGATAGATTTTAAGAAAGTTTCTCGTTCATCTTTGAATTTAGCGCATTTAAAGAGAAAATGTATTTCATCCTCAACCTCATTTAAATCACATTTTGTACATAATCGCATGTGTGCTGGGATACCCTGAAATCTTCCAATATTAGATGAAACGAGGTGTTCTCCGCGTTCAGAATTGTATGAAAAGCTTTAATGTATATGTATTAACTATATTTCTTTACTTAATTTTGTATTTTTCAAAAATATATTTTTTTGATCAGTTACGCCATATATGGCTTTAATCAATAGACCAGCTAACACCCGATATACATTTCCTAATAATTTTGTACTTAAACATTGGTTGAAAATAATTAAATTACTGGGTGCAGAATTTGCTCTAAACAGGTTTATCTTTTTTTATGCCCCTGTAATATTGAAGATCAGGGGGTATATGGTTTTTGCCCTGTCCTTCCGTCTGTCTGTTTGTTCGCAAAAAAGGCCATAAGATAACTTTTGAATATTTGATGATAGGGCTTTCATATTTCACTTGTGCACTTACCGTGACATGACCTTACCATGGGGTATAAAATGTTTGACATTTTGATCTTGATCTTAGAGTTAGACCTTCTTTTTCGAAACTTTAATCCTGAGTGACCATGCGCGGATCTAGAGGGGGGTCAGGACCCCCCCCCCCTGGAATTTACACTGTTAAAAAATGTATATACAAAGCAAGTAAAAGTTACCTTGGACCCCCCCCCCCCCTTGGAAAACGCTGACCCCCCCTGGTGAACATGAACATGTGTGAAATGGGAATGAAAAGTGAAAGATTTGAGACAATAGAAGTAATAGAACCCACCCCCCCCCTCCCCCCTACGAAATAGCTTTTTCACGTTTGGGCGAGTTAAGGTTTTGTTTTGTTTTGTTTTTTTTTTTTTGCTTGTCAAAAAATATCTGGGATTGGGAATTTTTTTTGGACTGGGTGGACCCCCACTGGAAAAAATTTCTCGATCCGCGCCTGGTGACCATAATTTTTGAAGCGTTATAGCTAGTAATAGGACTTTCACAATTTTACAGGGTTATTCCTTGTGAGAAGACCTTTCTTTGGATACCAACATTTTTTACCTTCCTTTCACATCTCTCTCTCTTCCACCACCGACAGAACCCATCTGACCGCTACATTTCTCGATCCCTCTTCAAAAACTCCCAAACTGTAAACAAGGTAACCCCCCCCCCCCCAAGACACTGAACCTCACGAACTTCACGATTTCAATTTTTAGTAGTAGAGCATGTAGAAAGCTTGTTCATATATGAAGTTCCCGTCCGGTGGCGTTATATGCCAAGCATTGACGATCTCCTGACAGAGACTGTCAGTCAATAAATATATCAACTGGAATTCGTGTCAAACAAACGCAAAGTACAAAACAATATGAAAAACAAACTTTGGAGAAGGATAAAAAAAATCGCTTTTTCCAAAACATTTTCTAACAAAGCAGGCTGGAGTCTATATACTCTTATGTACTAAATCGATAAGAATGTCATGAATTCCAATACTGCAGGTACAATCAATAAACGCAGCAAAAACAAAATAACCAATCAATATCATTAATAATTCTGCAATCGGGTGACACGATTCCTCTGAAAATTAAGTAAGGATAACAAAGATACATATATTTACAAATCAAATAGCCTCCGACAATAAATTTGTATCATGATGATTGATATGATGCTAATTTGTTAAAAATAAACTACACATCAACAGCAGAGAACTGGGGACGAGGGTTGTTAGAATTTACCTGACTATAATGACTATATATCGATTTCTCCCTGACAATTGAAGCACAGTCATGTAGCAGTGACGTAAGACTCGGCGAAAATGCACCTTCTGACAGGTAAGTAAACTTAAGCTTATAACAGACATTTCACGTGTACCTCTCAGGTAAAAATTAATCAACAAAGAAAAAAATAAAAACTTTTACTGACCACATTTTAATATGAAGACGTCGCATGAAATTATAAATGATCTTTGTTCCTGTTCCTTCACCTCAAGATCTTCATGTCTTAATTTTAAATGTCAAAATTCTAATGTAGCTGTCCTGATGTCCTATTACAGATTTTTGGCGGAAATGAACAGCTGTTTTTATCTGGGATGGACCATGACTTGATGTTTTCTGAACTGCGTGTGTCTGGAATGAACTGTGAAGTAATTTTTTGAACTGTTACTGTGATGAACAATGACTTGATTTTCTAAATTATATCTAGGATGAACAATGACTTCATATTCTGAACTATATCTGAGATGAACGACCATTAATTTTTCTGAACAACCTCTGGAGTGAACTATGACTTGGTTTTCTTAGTTGTGATGAACCATGACTTAATTTTCTGAGCTGTTTCTGTGATGGGATGTTACGGAGGAAGTTACCGTGTGACGCCATATTCGGTTAGAATTCTTATCTATTAAAAATCCTAGAAACATACTTACTCTTACAACATACAAATAGAGCCCGTTCATTAGGTCGATCCATACATATATCGACTTGACAGAAAAGCATTTTCATGCTCTGTTGATATGCTGTTCTGTCTAATAAATATATCAATGGATTGACCAAATGAAATAGAGCTGAATTTGTTATACATGTATTTGTTTTAAAAAGACACGTTCGTTACAATTTTTACAAATCTTTACGAACAATGTAAGGAAAATAATCTTATTATTAGAAAAAAAAAACCAGGCCAATCGTACATTGTGGCCCCATCCTCCCCTTGGGGTCATAATTTGAACAAACTTGAATCTACACTACCTGAGGATGATTGCACATGAGTTTCATCTTTCCGCCATGGACCAGTGGTTCCTGAAAAGATGTTTTTTTAAAGATGCCATAAATTTTTCACTAATTCATAATAATCTCCCCTTGGAAGAGGGCATATGACCCTTAGTTCGACCAAACTTGAATCCCCTTTATCCCGGAATACTTTGTAGCAAGTTTGGTTGAAACTGGTCCAGTGGTTCTTGAGACGAAGATGAACATGTGAAAAGTTTACGACAACGACGACGACAACGACGATAACGGACTAATTTTTATTAGAAAAGCTCTTTAGAGCCATATATAATATGATAATGAGCTAATGACTATATTATACGACATAGTAAAAATACATTTGTATTGATACAGATAGCGGTTACTGATGAGGGCAAATCAATAGATTCTTTTTATGAACGTTATTTTGGAACGTGCATGGATGATAGTTATTACTTCCACAGAAACTTTTTTACTTTTGATGCTAATACATTGAAATTTAATTTTGTATACAGGTAAATTACCGTTGATGTACACGCTCTATAAAGCTTCATTAGAGAAACAAAAATTAAAAGCTTCATCAAAATGATGAATCATAACAAATGATTACATTTTGTGAATATTTGTGTATTTTTAGTTTATACTGGTACAAAGAAAATTTTTGTTTCTTATTTAAAATTATTGTCACTTCCTTTACCTTTTTGAAAACCTGGATTTGTCATACTATACCACATGTTGGTGACGGAATAGGGCGCCACGGAATAGTGTGTTGCTTAATCGTTAATTTAAAAACAAGAATATTTTTTGTTTTCTCATACGTGTTTAAAAAGTAGCAATATGCACGACGTAATTATTTTATTCATATACTTAAATATATGTTTTCAAATGAGAAATAATTCCACTGGGACGATTTGTATGTAACTTGATTTTTTAGTTTAAGAAAATACAATAATTAATTCTTTCAAGTACTAGTAACTCATTTAAAACATTATGATATAATTACTTCGAGAAATTGAACATTTGGTAAATTGCTGAAAAATTCGTAATAAATACGTACGGGTTGGGGGGGGTGTTTGGGCTTTCAAGGAATAAACACACTCGATCTTTTATCATGTTAATGTGAAAACGTTTTGCGATCATTTACGTTTTTTATGATTATCTGAAATTAATTAGTTAGTTTTGTCCATCATATTGTTAGGATAAGGTACAAATCGGATTGTAAGCTCAGCAAGATGACTTGCCGACACACGTGTAAATTCACGTGAAGATAAATAGTCCCTGACTCCATCAGGACCATTCACTAAAGACCGTAATGCCAAATAAGTACTGTTTTCAGGGCCCAGGGAGCACAACCCCGGAAATATCCGGTCCGCTTCAGAAGAGGTCTTGCCGTGACGTCGTATGTCTGTTGGTGTTCTTGTTTGCCCTGGGGGGTGCGGGATATGGAGGATACTTGGCCGTCACCCTGGGGGACCAGGACAGACTTATCTACGGTGTGGACAGCTGGGGGAACGTCTGTGGGAAACGTAACAAAGAAATTGAGGGCGTACCAAGGTCAGGAAAGGACTGTACGAATCTGAGGTTAGTCAATGATAGGTCAGAGGTGCTCAGTTCAGATGTCAAGGCCAAAAAACGCTTCAAGAATGAAGTCTGCGGGGTAGCAAACTAAATCAACGAAGTTCATTGATTAAAATAAAATGGGAAATGAACTCTAGAGGGAAGATTACCCTTTTACAGTTTTTTTTTTGTTTAAATCCAATTGTCAAATTCTATCGATAAAAGCCATATACTAAGAGATATGATTGTATGTATGCACTGGATATATGTATATGTACAACTGAATGATAGAAAGGTATTATAAGATCGATATTAAAAGGAATTTCGTATCGGTATGAGTAAACGAGCCTTTTATCTTAATGTGATAATTACAAGTATTATAGTTTATTGGCATTGAATCGGTAAATGGCATTTATTTAGGGCAAGATGCTGGATCGAAATAAGAACAGTTCCTTCTATCTTGCAGGAATCTGTTTTTCTACGATAAGTCAATATTTTCCAAATACGTACCCGGGGAGTATATTTCTGTGGATACGACAGTGCTTTGTGTTAAAACATGTCCAACTTACCCCATAAACAGCGTGACAGAACTACAGGATTTCTACAACAACACAGGCTCCAGTTTGTGCTGGTATGACGTGTCGCGTGACGCCTATTTTGACGGGAACTCCAATGGGCACGACAGATGCCCCAGACTGCCGATAGAAACCCAGTAATGATTCTTAATTACATGTAGTGGGAGTTTCACACTGCATAAGGAAAATCTCATAACTTTGTTAATGTTCTAAAATATTTAATATTCTGAATTTCATTTATTTATATTCATCACTGTTTTCACTTGATTTGATTTACACTACTTTATATTTCAGTGAGTCCATTCTATTCCGCTGTATACCAAAGTCTTTCAACCAACCATTTGAGATCTTGACGAGCGCCATCAACGATATTCTCAATAAAATCGATCCAAACTTTGCCGAGGTATGAACAAAACTTGACTGAAGTTTGAACAAATCTTAGCTTAGCTATAATCAAAGGTTTTTTTACATATGAAAAATTATTCGTGATATGAACAAAGCTTGGCTTAAGTATGAACATAGTTTGACTGTATGGGTACACTAGTAATTGAAGGTTTACGGAGGTATATACAAACTTTGACTGGGGTATGAACAAAATTTGACCGAGATTTTATCACAGCTTGATTAAGCTACATGTATAATCAAAGGTCGGCTGAGACATCATCAAAACCGACTGAGTCTTACTTACATATAGACAAAGTTTGAATGGGGTATGGACAAATAAGTTGAATTCAGAAGGATCATTGAGTCTCTTTCTGGAACAATTTTGTTGTTTTTAGGGATTTCTTTTTAATTTTTGTAACAACTTTTTGGGGTGTAAATTTCTAAGATAAAAATTTTAATTATTCAGGCTGACATTTCCCTCTTTTAATACTCATTAAGTTATTTTAGCACCTTCTTCCAGCTTCCCAACAAAGGTTCTTAAAGGCAATTATGGAAAACTTTTTTGTAGAAATGTGTGTCCGACCTGAAGAAAACATGGCGAGAAATCTGTTATTTGTCTGCGACAGCATTGGGTACGTGTGTATAATACCTAAAAGTTTAACTTATATATTGGCAACCTGACAATACTTATGTATGCGTGGAAAGGAAATGAAGTTATGTCACAAAATGTCCTTTCCATGCATTGGCAATACCGAATCTATCAATAATATTAAATGTATATCGCTTTGATTTATCTAAATGTAAATAATATGTTGGTGTATCTATGACTATCTCAAATATGACATGATATTTCGCTTAATTTAAATTTATATAAGGAGTATCGCTCTGATTTCATTAAAAAGTGTATATATCGCTTTGATTTATCTAAATGTAACTCAAAATAAAAGTGAATATGGCTTTTATTTATCTAAATGTAAATGTTATTTTAGGCGTATCGCTGGCTATCGTGATTCTTCTGCGATATATCGCGGGTATCGTCATCTGGTTGATGGTCGTTTTACTTGGCCTCGGCAGTATCGTTGGCACAGCTCTGTGTTGGTAAGTAGATAACAACTATAAAACAAGACATAACTGAAACAAGACAAAACAAGACATAACTAAAACAAGACAAAACAAGACATAACTAAAACAAGACAAAACAAGACATAACTAAAACAAGACATAACTAAAACAAGACAAAACAAGACATAACTAAAACAAGACAAAACAAGACATAACTATAAAACAAGACAAAACAAGACATAACTAAAACAAGACAAAACAAGACATAACTAAAACAAGACATAACTAAAACAAGACATAACTAAAACAAGACAAAGCAAGACATAACTAAAACAAGACAAAACAAGACATAGTTAAAACAAGACATAACTAAAACAAGACATAACTAAAACAAGACATAACTAAAACAAGACATAACTAAAACAAGACATAACTAAAACAAGACAAAACAAGACATAACTAAAACAAGACAAAACAAGACATAACTAAAACAAGACAAAACAAGACATAACTATAAAACAAGACAAAACAAGACATAACTAAAACAAGACAAAACAAGACATAACTAAAACAAGACAAAACAAGACATAACTAAAACAAGACAAAACAAGACATAACTAAAACAAGACATAACTATAAAACAAGACAAAACAAGACATAACTAAAACAAGACAAAACAAGACATAACTAAAACAAGACATAACTAAAACAAGACAAAGCAAGACATAACTAAAACAAGACAAAACAAGACATAACTAAAACAAGACAAAACAAAACTAAAACAAGACAAAGCAAGACATAACTAAAACAAGACAAAACAAGACATAACTAAAACAAGATAAAACAAGACAAAACAAGACATAACTAAAACAAGACAAAACAAGACATAACTAAAACAAGACATAACTAAAACTAGACATAACTAAAACAAGACAAAACAAGACATAACTAAAATAAGACAAAACAAGACATAACTATAAATCAAGACAAAGCAAGACATAACTAAAACAAGACAAAACAAGACATAACTAAAACAAGACAAAGCAAGATATAACTAAAACAAGACAAACCAAGACATAACTTAAACAAGACAAAACAAGACATAACTAAAACAAGATAAAACAAGACAAAACAAGACATAACTAAAACAAGACATAACTAAAACTAGACATAACTAAAACAAGACAAAACAAGACATAACTAACACTAGACATAACTAAAACAAGACATACCTAACCCTAATCCTGACTCAGCGGTATTGTTGGTACAGTTCTGTGTTGGTAAGTAGGTGACGAAACAGAACTAAAACAAGAAATAATTAAACAAGACAAAACTAACCTTAACCCTGACTCAGCAGTATCGTTGGCACAGCTCTGTGTTGGTAAGTAGGGAACATAACTAAAACAAGACAAAGGGTTTGTTGTTGAACGTCCCTCTCGAGAATTTCTCACTCGTATGGAGACGCCAACACTTGCCGGTGAAGAGCTGCATATTTTGACCTATTTTGATTTGAACATAATAAATACATAGATGGATTGGGTAGCAGGCATAGCTTATTTTAGCCCTCTCCATATTTTAAACTATACTCGGCGCTTAGGGGCATTGAGCAGTGAGGGATCTTTTTCGTGCCAGCACCTACTGCGATACGGGACCTCGGCTTATGCGGTCTCATCTGAAGAACCGCAGTTTCCACGTCCTCAAAGGGATTCAAACCCGCACGTAAGGATTAACTGTAACAACTGCGCAATGCGGGCGACCAACAGCTAGGAGAGAAGCTTCTTTGCTAAATTAATTAAGAGAGAATCAAACTCGATCTACTGCTTTGAGAACAACATTCGTAGCACTATGTCGCTGTTAGGTCACCTGAAAAATGCGGACTTTTATGAATAATATTCTCAGCAAAATATTATATCTGAACTTTAATAGTTGGGGCTAGCTTCCCTAGCTCCTGCCCCTCCCCCTCTACAGCTACGTGCCTACATAACAGTGTATAAAAAGCATGTTTACTATCCTAATTAAGACTGGGATTAATTATTGTTAACTTAATTGAGGGCTTGATTTGTTTCTGCCTACATTAAGGTATCATTACTACGAGCTGCAGGGAAATTCGCAACAGACAGAGGAAGCAGAGAAATGGCTGATTGGTTCTATATCCGCCACCGTTGTCATGGTGATTGTGTTGTTGATCCTGTTGGTGATGAGGAAGAGGATTGGTCTGGTAATGGTGACCACCACGAATTCTACAATAAAAAATTAAAATATCAAATTAATAGGTGACAATGAGAAACACAGATACTGAGACCTTAAAGTACGAAAACGTAAACTGGTTTCATGAATTTCAGGTTGTCCAGTTATTTAAAGAAGCAAGTCACGTGGTCTCTAGTATTCCATTTTTGTTGATTCAACCGCTCTGGGTAAAATATAAAGTTCATTGGAGAAATATGACAAATGTCTGTCTTGTGCATAGCTTTTAAAGACTATTGGTTCTTGAAACATATTCTCCATGCTCTCCATCCAAACAACTTCTTTGGTATTTTCAGACATTAACCATATTTCTGGGAATACTCACCCTTTTCTCCTATATCTTCCTTGGAATGGAGTCTGCGGGTGAGACCTTTACTTACGTTATAATGGTTAAACTTAGAAAGTTAATGATTATAATATCAGTAATGGACAATGTTTATATTTTCAGGTCACGCTAGCATATCAAACACCACAGGATTCGTGTCCTTTAAAGAAGATGAAATGGTCAATGTATGGAATAATCTTTACATATTGCTTGAGTTGAAATTTCGTAACGTTATTTATTTCGATCTCAGTATAAAGCTTTGATCTTTATTTCTCCCCAGGTTTTGAAATGGTACCACGTATTTGCCGGTATCTGGACTGTCCAGTTTGTCTTCGCGTGTGAGAGGATCGTGATGGCGGGTGCCGTGGCTGAGTGGTACTTCCAAAGGTATATAAGAGGAGCAGACGTTCTGTCAGGGAGATATATTTTGTGTTGTTGTCCTTGTTAAGAAATTATCACGAAACACTACAGGGAACCAGAAGTCAGTGATTATATTCTGTTTACTTGTAGGGACGCTGGAATGCCATCCTTTCCAATTCTGTTGTCAATCAAACGACTCATCAGGTCAGATTGAGTCATAACACCAAATTTTCTATTTTAATAAAAATGTTTGGGAAAACATAAGGATTAGGAATCTCAAGTGTTCAATGAATTAATTCGTGCTAATATAATGTCACACAGTCAAGAATATGCATTTGTGACTTTATTTCAGATACCACCTTGGATCCGCCGCATTTGGATCATTCATCATCACTCTCCTAGTTGTCATCAACGGGATCTTGGCTTTCATTCATAAAAAGTCTGTATATATATTACAAATCTTACGTACACTGTATTATTGGTTAGTGGGAACACTTTGATGACTGTTCTGTTAGAATGTGTTAAGATTTTCCATCCAATGCCGGTTATAAATGCTTGATATATGTGTTTAGGGTGAAGAACAGTACTGGATCAGTGGGTGATTTTCTGATGAAGTGTTTCCGCTGCTGCTTTTGGTGTTTTGAAAAAGCCATTAAATTCATCAACAGTAACGCCTACATCGAGATAGGTGTGAATCTTTAGAATTTGTTTTGTTGTGTTTTGTATTTTGTCAAAATGCTGTACAGCGTTGCATTATTTCGTACTTCTGTTTACAGCAATTCTAGGAGGGAGTTTCTGTGAGAGTGCCCGGCGCGCTCTAAAGATCATCGTTTCCAATTCTCTCCGACTGGCCGCCATCAACTCTATTGGTGACTTCACGCTGTTTCTAGGGAAGGCGGGGACTGTTGCCGTGGTAGCAGTCATTGCTATGGAGATGTTGGCGGTAAGTCTGTATTACAGGATGTAAGCCCTCGTAAATTGTGTTCTTTACGTGTATAAATCGTGTCAATTTATATAAAATAATATATGCATGTGCTAATCAGTTATTTTGCAAGAGACTTGGAAACATGGATTCGTTTCTTACGTATGTCTTACGTCACTTACAGATGAGATCTGACGTCATTTATCCATGGTTACCTATCACACTCTCCTGCCTTATAGCCTTTGTCATCGCCAGCTGTTTGATTGGAGTATATGAGGTCTGGACAAGAAAAGGGCATAATATGAAGCAAAATGTCTGAATACTACATTTTAAACACTTTTTCAGATCGAATAATTTCCCTTGCTAGCAACCCTCTACTTACCAATGCACATAAATCCTTTTTATAGTAGACAAAGAATGTGATTTATATAAGCTTTTTGCAAGCATCACTTAAAAAAAAAATATTTTCCCTTTAAAATCTTCATAAATTAATTAATCCTTGACCTTGTGGTTTTAGTTATGTATCGACACGATCTTTGTCTGTTTCTGTGAGGACTGCGACAGAAATGACGGCGGGGAGCGACCGTACCACATGTCCACTGGTCTCTTGGTATGTTATCTATTTTAAAACACGATGCATACAGGGATTCCCTTTTTATTAATTCAATGATATTTTTAAAATGCATTTCACTCAAATGTCTTATAAAATGAATGTATTTATGGAAACATGTACATAAACAGACTATATATACAATTTTCTCATTAGAAAAAAAAAAGATGTCGCAGAATATCATAGGATACTGTTTTTATTTTCTTAGAAATTTGTCGGTGGATCACATGGTACCAAGGCCACGCATATAATGGTACATCCACCAAAATGAATCAAACTGTGATATTAAAACCAAGCCATTTCGCTAATTCAGCGGTAAATATGCTTGCATGTTAACATGGAAACCTTGGAAATATGGTTCATTTTTTTCATGTGACAATTCAATCTGGGGCCAGCGATGTTGACTTTAAAAGTTAACATCGTACTTGTTTGGTCGGAGGTTTGTAGAGAGGAGTTATAGCAAATCCGGAGTTCCATATCTTGTCTACTTTTAACAAGTACACATGTATACAAGTTGAATGTATCCTCCTGTATGAAACTGCCCGCAAGGAAAGCTGTGATATATAGGATGTTTTTGAACAAATATGAAAGTCAAGGTTTCGTAAACAAGATGTTATTTTTACTTTTGTTTTATATATATATTTTTACTTTTAAACAGTTTTCTTTCTTTTGAGGGATTGGGGTTATAGGGGGTTTAAAATACCATTTATAATATGTATAATAGATGAAATATTGAGACAGTGCAATACACCAGTATTATTTATTACTTTTGACTGCCATTGATATTTGTATACTAGTATACGAGATATATATACAAGTGTGTGTTTATTTGTAAATCGTTTTTTCAGTATGAATACATATATTATTAAATCATAAATCAAGAACAAGTTTTACGTGTTGCCTTCTTTGTTGTTTTCCTGTGATTATTCAATACCTACTGCTGAGACTTAATTCTGAAAAAAAAAACATTTAATTAATGGTACCGGTGTACCATATTCATTCATCATTTATTTCCTCTTTAAAGAGATACAGAATTAAGAATTAAGTTAATCAACACATTAATTTATGTACAATTCAAATGATATTTTCAAATAAATGATAAGCATAAAGTGAAAAAAGAGATACAAATGTCACATTTGCTCTATACAAGTCATATGCGCGAGAGCACTGCAGATAGCCGTTGGTATTGTGCTAATGCACGAACTAACAGTTTCGAGTTTAGAATCCTAAAGTTTCTTTCCTGAGATAAAGGTAAAACAGTTAGTGGTTCGCGTCCCAGGACAACCAGAAAAAGATCCATCTCACAAAGGCCACACAGTTCTGCTCCAAGGCCAATATGAAATGAATTGACAATTGTGTTCCACCATTCATTGTGGCAATCAGAGAGAGCACCGCAGGACAACGTTACGTGACAGAAAATGTCCTCATATGTGGAATTGCACAGATGACAGGTTGAAAGGCATATAGGTATTTCGTTGATACAATTAACTTGCAAGTAAACTTGAAGTTTCGAATATTACTTGCGTTATCCGCGAATGACCAGATGTTACAAGGTTTGTTATGTTGAAAGACGGAGTTGAAACGTTCAAAGTCGGGATCCATGAGCATTCGTACTTGTCGCTGTTGACTGTGGAAGTCGTTGATCGCGGAACGAACAATAGTTTTCCAAGAATATTTATGCGGGAAGGTACCTGTGATCATCCAGGTTATCAGGTAAGTGTGTATGTTGTATTTCCTGAGAATATCGATGATATCTGGAATAAAGCCCCTTGGATCTGCAGCCAGCTGTGTCAGGAAGGAGAAAAGTCTTGAGATGAAGATTTGTTTTGAGAGGCACAGAGTGCTCATGTTGCATAGCCTTCCTGAAAACAACAGTTTTCTGGCATCGATTTCGGCATGGATGGGGAGTATATCCATAAGCTGTTCACACATGTCAGATCGAGTGAGCTTGGGCAGATTTAGGACAGCTTTGCAAACCCCATGTTGAAAGGTGCTTAAACGCCTGTGATCCTCTTGAGTTAAACTGCTCCACAATTCACACCCGTATAGTACAGATGGAAGGACAATCGTTTTGTAGAGATGAGTCATAGTAAGAGGATTAACACACGAGATATCGATGTCAGAAAGGCCATAGAAGGATTTCCACCCTTTGTTGCATGCGTTCAAGATGCGGTCTTTTGTTTTTGCTTTTTCATTTATGATAATACCCAAATGATTGTATTTTTGGCCGTATGGTATTTCAGAGATCCCAAGAGGTATTGGTTTATCCGGAGCACTATTGTGTTTTGCATGGAATTTTAGAACGCAGGATTTTGATACGTTGAATGTAAAGCGCCATTTGCATGCATATGCGTAAGCTATATCCATCATGGACTGAAGATTTGCTGGGGATGTGGCGATGCAGGAAATATCGTCAGCTAGAGTAGGACTCGCGTATTTGGGATCCAGAACGCATTTTAGTGATGTTGAGTTGCAGTGTTCTAGTTCGTCTAAAAGTTCGTTGACAAAAACAAGGTACAAAAATGTCGACAAGACGCCACCTTGCCTGACCCCTTGATGAACATCAAACCATCTGGATTGTTTTTGGTTTACGATAACGGCACTTACAGTATTGCAGTGGCAGTCGTCGATAATCTGCCATAATTTGCCTTTAATACCTAGGTTATGGAGTTTGTACATCAGTCCCTGTCTCCAGACTGTATCGAAAGCTTTACTTGTGTCCAAAAAACTGATATATGTGTTGCTGCCTTGTTCAAGATTATGGTTCAATGTTTCATGAAGATTGAATGAAGCAGTTATACATCCTAAATGTTTTTGGAAACATTTTGTTGTATATTGAGTTTTTAAGGTATATATTGGTTTGTTTCTAAGGTAGATTATTCTATTCAACAAAATCAGATGATTTTCTCAAACAGTTTGTAACATACAAGAAATCAAAATTAGAAAACGCTAATCTTCATTTACAGGCCTGAAAATGCTATTGCAAGAAATTTTTGGTGTTTTATCACCACTTTTGTATATGCAGTTTGCAAAACTCTTGCATATAAATTATTTACTCAAAAATTGTTTCCATTGCGTAGAAGGCATTTATTTTAACAATTTTATAGTTCCAAACGTCATAATCGCATTGAATATAAAACTTACAGCTAGGCATTTTGTGAACTTCTATATTTAAGAAAAGCATTCTGATGTTCAAAACATTCCTATGCTGATTATATGCATGATTTTTTTGAATTTCAAATGTGCTCATTTGTTACGACCATCAATGTTTACCAAAATTTAAAACTAATTTATTTAAAAATTCTTTGCAATATTCAGGGGTTATTATTGGAAGAGAAGTATAAGATTGCAATCCCTTTCAATATTTAAAAATCATTTTGTGTGAAAAAAAAAAAAAAAAAAAAATATCATTTTCAATGGAAAGTGTTTAATTTATTCTAGTGTAACATAATGTGTGTTTTTTTATGCATGTTTGTGATTATTGTCTTTATTAATGTATAAAACATTGTATATGTGTTTAAAGCGATTGTCAAAATGATCGGTCTTCTATAAATAAAGTATTATTATTATATTATTATTATTATTAATGGGCGGTAAATCTCCTCATAAAATTCTGCAAAAGCATTTGCTACGCCGTCGGGATCGTTGTGGGTTGTACCACTGGCAAATTTCTGGATATATTCTAGAAGGTCGAGGTCGCCTTTGTTTGACACTTGACGCCAAAATAAACGTATGTCCATTTCCGCTGCTTCATCCAGATCTCGGTGAACAGATTTTAGATATTTCTCATATTCCAAGTTTTGGGCATTTAGAAAGTTGCGTTTTGCACTTTTGTAGTCCCTGTATGATTGAAAACCCATACCTCTGGGCCTGCCCGTATTAGGGGCGCAGCAGTATCTTTTTTAAATTGTTTTAACAAATTAGTAATTTGTTATAACAGATTACTAAATTGTTATAAAAGATATTACTAATTTGTTATAACAGATTAATAATTTGATATAACGGATTATTAATTTGATATAACAAATTAATAATTTGATATAACAAATTAGTAATTAATTTAGTAAAACAAATAAGTTTTTCGATAAAACAAATTACTATTTTTGAATTTGAAATAAATATAGATCTACGAAAGCCAGATCAAATCAAAAATCTTAGTGTAAGTCGGATATCTGAAAATAAATTATCATGTATACATTGAATTGATGACGGATTTTCCCGTTATTTCCTCATCATGACAAGGACACGGCGGGTGTATCCGGTCGGCAGGGGATGTTCACTCCTCCATGGCACCTGATTCCACCTCTGATGTTTTTGAGGCTTGTTTGCTCTGCTCCTATTTTGTATTGTTTTATGGACTTTGAGATTGAACGTGTTGGATACTGTTCGTTATCTCCATATCCTTCTCCATATGATTCGTATGAACGTCCTTTCTCTTCTGTTTAAAAGTTATGACCAAGGTTAAAGTTTTTGGGACAGACTGACATACAAATTAAATTTAATGTCTCCACGCTTTCGCGAAAGTGGGGAACAGTATACTATAGGATAGGGGTAACGGTTATTTAACCAATACGAATCATCTTACGATTGAGTTAACAAATTTTCAAGATGGCAGCTTCCATGATGTAAACGTCTGATATACGTATCTTAGCAAATTGTTGATTATCTTGGGTTTTTTGAGGTATTGTTTGCTTCTGATAATATATGCTTAGTTTAACACGTCTGTTTGCATTAACTGAAGTAATTTAATTGTTTTTGCAGGGTTGCGAATAACATTTTAAACTAAATAAATTGGGCATGGGCCACGGGCACTGGATGTTAATGTAAATATACGTGCATGTCTTTTTCTATACATGCACATACTATATTTACATTAACTTCCAGTGCCCGTGGCATGGGCCCCCCCAAGTTGGCCCAACTTTACATTATTACTTGCATACATTGTTATTTTGAGGATAATCTCAAATTCTTCTCTGTCCACAGTCTTTCATTCTAATTTTTGCGGGAATGTTGTTTCTACTTGTATTATTCATTTTAAATTTAATGTTTCCATCGTAAAATTACAGTATTAGCGTATTTTGCCGATTTTAAAGTTCATAACATAAAATATTTTTATCCAAGATACCAACAAATAATCAGAGAAACGTTTTCAACATTTTTATTTTAGTTGGAAAAGAAAATGAGTATAGAGCTGATAGTACAGTCTTAACATGATATAGTGGAACCCTGCTACAAAAAATGTACCTTTAATACCTAGGGGTGCAATGATATGCCTACCCCACAATTCAATATGTATAAAGGTATTCAGTTCATGATAGGATACGTATCACAATACATGGTTTGACATATAGGGTTAAAAAGTCAGGTGTTTGTCATCATATACTTTAAACTTAAAAGTTTTATCAAATGCTCATTACACTAACACTAGGAAAGTGATAACATCTTCGACCCATTTAAATATGAGACTGGAAACAAGTTTGACTGCCATTTCTGCAGTTTCATTGACCTCATGTTTCATTCCGAAGCAATTTAGAAATTGTAAACAAGGAACCAAAACGGACAATTCAGATAATTACGAGCCAAACTGTGATATCAGTTTCACGTATCGTGAATTGAACCATGAAAAAATAAACCATGGTATACCGTCAAACGGTTTATTGTTGCAATCTTATTAATACCTGAGAGGAAAATGTAATAAATTTTGAAAGAATTTTCATACTTTTCAACTTTCAATAAAGTATTTCATTTACACGTTTTGGGCTTGAAATTGTTTGCTATTACATGTACAGTGTATTGGATTCTTGTTTTTATTTCTGTCAGATCTAATTGAGTGAGGACTGATTGAGATTCACGATGTCGTTGGCTGATGAGTTACTGGCCGACTTTGAGGATGACGATGTTGAACACAATGCAGGGGATGATGAGATGGACGTTATTGCGGAGGTTGATGAAGTTGTTCCTGAGGTCGATTACCGGAGTAAAGAATCCGTAAAACACATCGCTAAGCTCCGAGATGGACCTGACCTAGCACGCATTATGACAGAAATAAAGAAATACGCAGGTCAACCACGCAGAGAGAAAGGTCAGTCTCCATTCTGTGTGAATCATTGAATCCATATAGGCAGTGGTCAAGATCTCATTTCATATTCAGAAAAAGTTATTTTCATTGTGGATTATTATGGTAACATTGGTTGCTTATATTTTTTTGTTTTTAAAAAGGAAGGCATTAACACATTTTAAATATGTCAGTGCAGTTATTATTTATTTGACATAATGATGACTTTGTTGTCTGTTGTTTGTTTGTGGATCAGTTGCTGGACCTGTAGAGGCAGACCCGGAGTATCAGCTGATCGTGGAGGCCAACAACATCACAGTGGAGATTGACAATGAGATCAGTGAGTAGACAGAGTTATCTCCCCTAGAAGAATTTAGACTCCTCTTTGTGTTAAATCTACATGACATATTTGTCTCCCTTAGATTTTGTTTTAAGTTTTAAGTTTCCCTAAAGAATCTTTTCGTATTCAACATATGTTCCATTTAACCTGAAGTCTACTTTTATCAGCTGAAATCAGAGTTGCATATATTTTACAGTTCCTGTATGGTGGTTAGTCATACATGATACATACTGCAATCAATGATTTCTTTTGTAGACGTGATTCACAAGTTTACAAGAGACCATTACTCCAAGAGATTTCCTGAGCTCGAGTCTCTGGTCCCCACACCCCTAGAATACATCAGAACTGTACAGGTAAACAAATAATATGTATCTGAAATTAAAGCAATGAATATTATACATTAGAACTGTAGAGGTGAACAAATTATATCTCAAGTTAAGGCAACAAATATTATATTAGGGGTAGTCCTAATGTTACTTTAAGGGCTGTCGTAATAATTCACTAAATATTTATCACTGTCTAATTTTTTGTGGTTTGCTACTTTGCTATCTCTGTTTGTATTTTTTTTACAGGAACTTGGAAACAATATCCTTGAGAACTCCAAAAGTAATGAAGTGTTGCAAGAGATTTTGACTCCAGCTACAATAATGGTTGTCAGTGTGACAGCATCAACTACACAGGGGTAAAATTTTTATACATGATCAGCTCTAACAACCAGGGGGTAGCTCATTTACAAAGTTATTAATAGCTTTTACCACACAGGGCTAAGCTCAGATTAGAGTGTCAACTTTTGCCACAGCCTTTAGCTCATAGTAAAGTTACAGCTTAATACAAAGGAATTAGTTTATATGTACATGTACAGCTTTTTGTATCCCCACAATGGTAAGGCCATTTGTACGAACTCTGCCATTATTCACATTTATATGAAAGACTTTTAAAATAAAAGTTGTCTTTAAACTGTAGGGTATAATTTTATGAAAATCACTTTACTTCTATTGTAATAAAGACATCTTTCTTCCAGATTTAGGTGTATTATTAAAGCAGCTGTTTATAGTTGATTGTCTTTTAATATTTCAGCTCAGAACTGTCCCCTGAAGAATTGGCTGTCGTTAATGAAGCCTGCAAAATGGTAAAACCACAAACATGTTTTGATAAAATATTTTGAATCAAAATAAAATATCTCTGTCAATTTCAAGGATAAGAGAAGTTATATACATCACAAGTGTGTTAGTAATGTTAAAGTTCTACTCAGAAACTATTGTATTATAAAGAATTGCATTCTACGTCCCACATTGGGATTTGAATTGTAATTATAATGCTTTTGTAATTTCCCTATTCCTAAGTATTATCTCTTATTTTTGTAGGCAGTGGACCTCACAGAGTGTAAAGCCAAGATCTTTGAATATGTCGAGTCTCGAATGTCCTTCATAGCTCCCAATCTGTCAATCATTGTAGGGGCCTCCATAGCAGCCAAACTCATGGGTAAGTCTGGAATATTGACCATTCTTTAATTGTTGTAGTCTTCGAAGAATCTGTCCAATGGCTATATGGGTAAATATGAATATATTGAATATGTACCCAGTGTCAAGAAGCACAACTTCTTAATAAGCAGGGAGTAAAAGCCAACTGCCTTGCCCAAAACATTCTGCATGTTCGTGACTCATAAACTCAAGATGTTTTGTGATATTGAAAGAATGCCTGACAACTAAATGTTCATTTGTAGATTATGGTGGTTGTTTATGTATTGAACTTTTCTTTCTGCAGGAATTGCTGGTGGCCTGACCAATTTGTCCAAGATGCCAGCGTGTAATATACAGATTCTAGGAGCTCAGAAGCGAACCTTATCTGGATTCTCCACCGCTGCCGTTCTCCCTCACACTGGACACGTTTATTACAGTGAAATAGTACAGAAAACTCCCCCGGTAATCTCAACTTAACTGACCATTTGAGGTTTCTTATTCTAATTATGTACATCAAGAACAGTTCGTTTCTCATCAAGTTTCATGAAAATAAGTTTACAACGTGTTGCAATCATTCAAAGTAGGATGCTTGTCAAATCTTGTATTTCAAAGATCCTTAATTTTGCACAAAATCAGGAAAACTACGTTAGATGGAACATGAATACAAAGTATATATTATTGACCTTGAACTTTTGTCAAGTTCAAGGCTATATATTTTTTGGGTCAAATTTCATCACAGAAGAGCTGTTAACGTTTGGTAACTTTCGCACTCTTTTAAGACCTGTATGTCTTCTGAAATTAAATCAACTACTCATTCTGTTTAAATAGAAGAAAGTCTTATTAGTCATATTTCATAATCCTTTTTGTGAGAAAATGTTGCTTATCATATGTATACAAGTTAAGAAATATAAGGCTTTGTTAATGTCTGAATTTTCCTTCTCCCTGGTCAGGACTTGAGGAAGAAGGCCGCACGCCTGGTGGCTGCTAAGTGTACTCTAGCCGCCCGCGTGGACAGTTTCCACGAGAGCGTCGATGGAGCTATTGGAGACAGCCTGAGGGCAGAGATAGAACAGAAACTGGACAAACTGCAGGAACCACCCCCCGTCAAAACTGTGAAGCCTCTCCCAGCTCCCATAGAACAGTCCCGCAAAAGACGTGGAGGTCGAAGGTCAGGGTTATAATAACTATAGATGTATAAATAAATTTAGTGAGTTAATTGGCTGTTCATGATGTCTTTGTGCTACATGCAAATCCACAGAAATTGTACCCATAAAATAACTTCAAATGCAAATTCTCAGAATGTTGATGCAACAGTAGGTGTACCTTTCAGGATGAAAATGGATTTTGAAAAAAAAATATTGAGACAGTTTTTTTCTAACAGTTTTTGTGACATTCTTCTTCCAGAGCCAGGAAAATGAAGGAGAGGTTAGGATTAACAGAGGTCAGAAAGGCAGCCAACAGAATGAACTTTGGAGAGGTAATACAGATATCAGCCAGCTCTCCTTTAGTCTTCATTCACACTTGCTAAAATTGAAATTACAAATCAATGTTGGGGTTAGGATTATAAGGCTATATAAATTTAATTCTCTGGTTCTCAGACCAATTTTCTCTGAAACAGATGCGAGAGGGAGGCATTTTATTTATCATTTTATTGGCAATAAAGAAGATGAGGGAGGTATTTTTTTAATATTAAGGCTATCTAAATTTAATTCTCTGGTTCTTAGGCCAATTTTCTCCAAAACAGATGCGAGAGGAAGGCATTTTATTTATTATTTTATAAGGCAATAAATTAGATGAGGGGATATTTTTTGAATTTTCGATTTTCTTTAAAATAAGATAATTTTCTTTAATCTCAGATATACTTTCCATGTCTGATCAAAAGGTTTGCTAAATCCATTGCTTATCAGCGTGTGAACATCGTAGGCAATGTCTTCGAATGTATTTTCAAACGAAGTAGCCAAAATCTTTTTTAAAATGGCTACCGAAATTGATATTTGAATACTAAATTACGTAAAAATGAGGACGGAACTTTTTTCGGAATTGGTGTCCGCAATACCAACTTTTTATTTTATCAAAAATACAATAAAATTAGCACTGCGGCTACCTCAAAACGCATGCCTGCGGGCATGAGAACCAGCGTTTCAATTTTAGGTAGCCTAAACAAGAGATTTGTTTTAAATGCTGTTCAATATCGAGGAGAAATTTCCAGTGATGTGATGTATAAATTTTTGAACTGTCTGATGAGTTTATGACAATTTCAGATTGAAGAAGATGCCTATCAGGATGACCTAGGATTTTCTCTGGGAGCTCTGGGAAAATCCCAATCTGGCAAGATCCGGGGTCCAGTGGTTGACTCCAAAACCAAGGCTCGAATCTCTAAAACACTACAGGTAAGTGTTTATTGTCAGCATGTATATATGTGTACTGGAAACTTGGCCACATTTTTCCCACCACAAAGAAACCCCAGGAGACCAAACCCCCAAAACATGAATTTCTCTCTGTAACATATGCAGTACCTATGGGTAGTCCTAAAACGTTTCCATCAGTATTCATTTAGAATATTTGGTGAAAACAATTTTAAAAAAATTGTCAAGGGTTCAGAGATGGAGGATTATAATAAAATTTTATTAATGCATGTATGATGTATTGAGTAGAGAAGAATCAAAAAAGCTAGTATTAAAGAAGCTCTCTCAATGAAATGAATGTTGTTCCTTTAGTCAATTAACCAAATTAACATATTTTACAGAGTTTTAATTCCATAAAGAAATAATTCAGTTTAGTACTTCTTAATATTTATTGATAAAAACTTCATCTTTATTGTTTCATCAACTGTCTGATAGATGTACAGAAAATATGGCTTCAGTCTATAACTTTACTCCAGTGGTCTTGATTCTCAATCAGTTGTCTTTAATTATTGTTTGTTTAACGTAACACAACAGGGTTTAACTTATAGGCGTATTTATTTTCAACCTCGCTAAGCTTGAAATAATTGAGTTTCCCTTAATTATGCATTAATAGTCAATGAATTGTAGACTTTATTTTATTAAAGGCTAAAGTTCAGAAGCAGAACAATGTATGGGGAGGCAGTACGACTGTAAAACGACAGATTGCTGGAACAGCATCCAGTGTGGCCTTCACCCCATTACAGGTATGTGTATAATAAAATCTCAGGTGGGCCTTCACCCCTTTACAGGTATGTGTATAATACATGATAAAGGCTCAGGTGGGACCCTCACCCCATTAAAGGTATGTGTATAATACATGATAAAGTCTCAGGTGGGGCCTTCACCCAATTACAGGTATGTGTATAATGCATGATAAAGGGTTAGTTGGGGCCCTCACCCCATTACAGGTACATGTATAATGATAAATTCTTAGGTGGGGCCTTCACCCCATTACAGGTATGTGTATAATACATAATAAAGTCTCAGTTGAGGCCTACACCCCCATTACAGGTAGTGTATAATACATGATAAAGGCACAGTTGGGGCCCTCACCCCATTACAGGTACGTTGATAATTCATGATAAAGTCTCAGGTGGGGCCTTCACCCCATTAAGGAGGCCTGTTCCGCATATTGAGAGTTCGCGAGCGCTCGCCAAAATTCCTTATATCTCCAATAGTAATTTTGGCGAGTGCTTGCGAACGCTCTCTCTGCTGAACAGGCCTCGGGTATCTGTATAATACACGATAAAGTCTCAGGTGGGGCCTACACCCCATTACAGGTGGTGTATAATACATGATAAAGGCTCAGTTGGGGCCCTCACCCCATTACAGGTATGTGTATAATACATGATAAAGGCTCAGTTGGGGCCCTCACCCCATTACAGGTACGTTTATAATACATGATAAAGGCTCAGGTGGGGCCTTCACCCAATTACAGATGTGTATAATGCATGATAAAGGCTCAGTGGGGGCCTTCACCCCATTACAGGTATATGTGTGTACTGAAAATCACATATTTTCATGCGTCAAATTTCGGTGGTTTGAGTAAAAACTTTTGGTTCATGGAGATTTGTTCTTGTGGATAAATTGAATAAAGAATTGTTGAGTAATTATGTATGTAACGTTAATTTACATTTCACGGTGGACCTAAATTGTTGGGAAAACAACAAAAATTATATCCTGAAGAAATCCACAGTACTTGATAACATGAATCTCCTTGTTTCTGTGAACAATATAATTAGTTCATGTTAATCTTCTCAGTACATAACTTGTAGATATTTTTTCTCTTGTACAGGGTCTGGAGATTGTAAATCCACAAGCTGCAGAGAGAAAAGTTCAGGCAGCCAACGCTAAATACTTCTCCAGCACAGCAGGCTTCCACAAACTCAAAAAGGAGGAAACGTGAAGCAAATAAATGACTTTTATATATGTAACTGTTGTACACATGTAAGGGTGTTTGTATGTATGTGTTAGAGCAATTTTACTTGTTTTGGGTTGATTTGAAACAAATAATCTCTAATTACATGGGATTGACACAGATGATTGTGACATTATATAGACAATGTGTGTCTAGATCATGATTTACTGACACACATCACAAGACAGTGAAATATACATCATTGCTTCCCAAAAATACCTATTTTTCATCACATACAGTGTACATGTTTTGTATTCTGAATCATAAATGCTGTTATAAGTGTAAAAACTAAAAAAAGACCAGTAAGAGGTCTTTAAGAATGTCAAACATTTCTATAAAGTTGAACATCTGAAATGTTATTACCTGGATTAAAACATTTCTATAATATGGAATGACCGTTATGTTCTCTCCTAGGTTATAAATGATCTTCATTGAGTTATTCTTCAGCTAGGATATCAGTAAACTCAACAGAAACTGTAACAAGGTAACAGTAAGGTGACTAATGTACAGGGAAGATGCATAATCTGACAACTTTGTACTTCATTTCTCTGTCAGTTCTCACCTTTATTCCCTTTTCACTATTTTTCATGTTCTGTACACTGAGTAATGTGATACCCTATCTATTCTATAATAAAACGGAATCTTTCAAGATGTTGAAACTAATGATAAATGTAAGTTTTTTTTGAAAATTTGAGTGAGGATTCAGCAAGTAAAGAAAATGATTAGGCTGACTTCATTTCTGATAAATGTGGATGAAATTGTGAATTTTTCTCTTTATACCGAATATTATTAATGATTCTAACGATGATCAAAAAGGTGTTTTGCAATAAGAAATGCTACCTCATGTAAGTTGATGTCAGGCATGTAGAGACCGGGGGGCCAGGGCAGCCCCCCTTTTTTTCCAGACGTAACTTTTATTATTGAAAATGTTCACTGAAAGGCTGATTGCCCCCCCCCCCCCCACTTTTTAGTACAGTGTGTTGACGAATATAAGGGTAATGCAGTGTTGTATGCAAAAATAATAGGTACTGAAAGATTTGAAAAAAGTTCAAATCCCCCCACCTACGAAATAGGATTTTTGGGTTTTGCATATGTTTTTTTTTGTCAACTTTTTTTCAGGTACATGTAAGTAAAAAAAAATCCTCTGGCTGCCCCCCCCCCCCCCCCTCACTTTCAAACAATACTGGATGTAGAACAGAACTCTCCAGTTTCAGCTAGATGTGTAATCATGGCTGTTCAAACACCCTGTAGCCTACCAACTGCCTGAAGAATCCAGTTTCATTCAATCCTGACATTGCTTACGGGGAAAAAATTCTGAAATAGGGAGTGGTTGAAACATTTTCTAATATAAACATCTGTTTGAAAGAAGAAACTGTTTTAATATCTATTTAAATCTGTCACTTCGGCATTAGGATGGGGATTGGAGAGTATGAATTTATGTTTCTTTACATATTCGACTATCAAGATTACTTCAGCTTTTCCACCATTTGTTGTTCTTATGTATGTAGTTATATTCACATATATTCAGTATCAGAATACACATGGCATTTACATCTCCCTATTTCTTTGATACTAAAGAGCATACCCCGAGTAGGATCAATTTTTGAAACGAAGTAGGTTACTGACAGATAAGTTGATGTTGCAGAGCTTTCAAGAAACTTGTTTAGAAACAGCATTTCCTAAATTTTGTGGCCTTTATAATGACCTTGAAGGTAAATAAAACCTAATCGTGGGTTGTATTTTTACTGACTTGTTTTACAACAATTGCTCAGCCTTTTTATACTGAATTTTACTATGAAATGTCCGTCTACCTGATCATTGACGGCGAGCAGGACTGGTCAGCAGGGCAAACTTACTCCTCCTGGGCACCTGATCCCATCTCTAAAATTTCCAGGGCTCCATATTTTACGGTATGTTCTCTCCACATATTGTATTGTTTATAGACATTTTTAGATTGATTTAGTTCTTTATCTTCACCAGTCCTTGGAGCAATTAATACCTTATATGTTACTGAATCTTGCTATTAAAATTTACTTATAAATAATACTTTCCAAATATTCTCAGAATACGATCTACAAACCAAGGTCTTTTTGTAGTATTTTTACCAAAATAAAGACCCACCCTTTAAGATCAGAGGTAAATTTCAATGTTGCTCAATACTTATCTCAGAGAGATCTGTAGAGACTAAAAATATTGGTCTTTTGTCACTTACGGTAGAGACCCCAGACCAAAATGTTTAGTCTCGACGGATATCGCTGATATTAGCTCAGTACAGCCTATAATCAAAGTACCAAAACTGCTGGTCTGTTTACAACAAGGTAATACAGCTCAACGCACTTTTTAAGCTCACATGGTTTTTCGCACAAATTAAGGTCACATTGTTATGATGTAATATTGTGTATTAAGGCATAAAAATACATTTTAAAAGTATTTGTTCACATTATTTGAGTTTTACCGGGGGTATTTCATGTACTAAAACATAATTCACACATATCAATTGGTAGAACTTTGATATTTTCATGGCTGAAAAAAAAAAAACTACTCTCATTTGAATTTTTTGTGGTTTCTTGCAAATTGCAACTGTCTTTTTATCCGTTCTTTTAAAAGCAAAGCTAGTTGCAGAAACATATACATGGGCACAGTTTAGCTATTGTAACTTGTATTTTCTGTACACTTTGACTCTTCAGCTCGGGGTGATAATTGTATTTTTCATCTGTTTGACTGCTTTGTATGTTAATAAGGTGGGATTTTTCAGTCAAGTTCTAAAATCTGGACTCATGAGAGATTCATCCCACTGCAAAATTCTAACCTTTCAAACCGTAAATGCAGAGGGTTTTTCCTTTTCATAGAAGGAATTAACTATTTAAAAAAATAATCAATACTTCATTATCCTACTCTTTAGTGTGGTTTCCTTGTGCAGTGTTATTCCTTTTCGGCGCTGCATTTCGACAAAACCAAGAGGAGTATGGTACATGAACAAAGAATTTTAAAAACTACTTACCTTTAAGAAGAAAATTTACAATTTTCAACTACATGGTGTCAAGGAAATCTCATTTTAGACAATTGTTAAAAACCCATGGTAGAATCGTATAGTCGAAACATCGTACCATTTATATATGAATTCCCCTTAAAAACACCCACATTGGAAACTTAAGATAATAATTCTAAAGACATCTATGCTTGAACATTATATATGTGATATAACGTAGGGTTATGTCATTGTACTGTAGTTCGAAAATGGTATTTTTATTACAACAATGTGACCTTAATTTGTGCGAAAAACCATGTGAGCTTAAAAAGTGTGTTGAGCTGTATAGGCATGGCCCTTGGTTGACTTGCACATTTATATCCCCATGCAATGGTTGTGTGCCTGTTAGCTTGTGTATGCAGGTTAGTTTGTTCTATGGTTATGTGCCTGTTAGCTTGTGTATGCGTGTTAGTTTGTTCAATGGTTGTGTGCCTGTTAGCTTGTGTATGCATGTTAGTTTGTTCTATGGTTGTGTGCCTGTTAGCTTTTGTATGCGTGTTAAGTTTGTTCTATGGTTGTATGCCTGTTAGTTTGTATATGCGTGTTAGTTTGTTCTTTGGTTGTGTGAATGTTGTTTATGCGTGTAAGTTTGTTCTTTGGTTGTATGAATGTTGTGTGTGCGTGTTAGTTTGTTCTATGGTTGTGTGAATGTTGTGTATGCGTGTTAGTTTCCTCTGTGGTTGTGTGAATATTGTGTATGCATGTTAGTTTGTTCTATGGTTGTGTGAATGTTGTGTATGCATGTTAGTTTGTTCTTTGGTTGGGTGAATGTTGTGTATGCATGTTAGTTTGTTCTATGGTTGTGTGAATGTTGTGTATGCATGTTAGTTTGTTCTATGGTTGTGTGAATGTTGTGTATGCGTGTTAGTTTGTTCTATAGTTGTTTGTGTTAGTTTGAATGCGTGTTAGTTTGTTCTATGGTTGTGTGAATGTTATGTTTGCGTGTTGGCTTGTTCTATATGGTTGTGTGAATGTTGTGTATACATGTGTGTTAGTTTGTTTTATGGTTGTGTGAATGTTGTGTATGCATGTTAGTTTGTGTATGCGTGTTAGTTTGTGTATGCATGTTACTCAGTAGTTTGTTTATGCATGTTAGCTTGTGTATGCATGTTAGTTTGTGTATGCGTGTTAGATGTGTATGCGTGTTAGTTTGTGTATGCATGTTAGATGTGTATGCATGTTAGTTTGTTCTATGGTTGTGTGCGTGTTAGTTTGTGTATGCATGTGAAATGTGTATGCGTGTTAGTTTGTTCTATGGTTGTGTGTGTGTTAGTTTGTGTATGCGTGTTAGTGTGTGTGTATGCGTATTAGATGTGTATGCATTTTAGTTTGTTTTTATGGTTGTACGCGTGTTAGTTTGTGTATGTTTGTTAGTTTGTTCTATGGTTGTGTGCGTGTTAGTTTGTCTCTGTGTGTTAGTTTATGTGTGGGTGTTAGATGCATATGCGTGTTAGATGTGTATGCGTGTTAGTTTGTGTATGCGTGTTAGTTTGTGTATGCGTGTTAGTTTGTGTATGCGTGTTAGTTTGTGTATACGTGTTAGTTTGTTTTATGCGAAACGGAAGTGATGTAATTTGCCTTAGAATCGAATTAAATCTTCCATTAAGTGGAAGGGTTAATTTTAACATGACTGGGATTTTGTATTCATCTTTAAACTTTGTATATACAAATTCAATATTTCACAGGCCTTTGGATCGCTTAAAAAAAATTTGTGTGTATTTTTTTTTCAGCACCTCAATTTTTTTTTCTAATCGATCTAAATGCCTGTGGTGTAAATCTACCCTTCAATATTTAAACAAATACCTTACTTGTCCTCATGAATCATTTTTCAATTAAAGTAAGTTGGAGGACATTAAATGACTTTTTTATTTCATATCAGTATTGTCTAACAATACATGTGCTTATATATAAAATAAGTATATGTATATACATACTCTGGAAGTATATCGATCAACATGACCAAGGCTTGTATTATTGCCTATAATACTGGGGTATACCCAAAAGACGGATATAAATTAAGCTATATATAGGAACGTGAACCGGACGAGATTTAAGTTCCGAAAATGTCGTAAGTGACACAATAGAACACGTATCACAGTCTTATGATATAACACTCTATTCAAGATAGTCACAGATAAATTTCCTGTCGGGGGCCCCTGAGTGTTAGCCTAGATATGTTACTACCGGGACAACATTGTACCTATGTTTAATATCTGTCCGTTGTCACCTACGAAGTAACTGACAAATGAGGATGTAAGATTTTAGACTCCATGGCCAAACTCCAAGAGGTCAATCTGAAGGACTTTGGGATTTCTACGACACTCGGTTTTCTTCTCAGCAGACCGTTAGTAAGTTATTGATGAAATAAAGTATGGGAACGCGGTGGGTACAAAATTTTTTAATCTAGTTGTTCTTAACAATTCAATTCTTTACATATTTAATTTTAATGAATGCCTGTGACATTCATAGGAAAAACTTCCGGAATATTTTGAGTCCTGGAATTCACTAGCATCAGAGGCGCCGATTTTGGCGAGTCGTGACAAAACACTACGGGAAAGAGTTCAAAGGGTAAGTTTCATTTACTTAAAAATATTCACAGATAGAAATATTCACATTTTAGTTTTATCTTTATAATTAAGATATTCTTTATTTCTTTTCTTTACATTTTAGATAAAATTATATCTTTTCAAATATTGATTGGGGTTTTGATATCAGGGAATGGAAGGGTTATTTAGATTACAAGCTGCAGAACTGTAGCTCTCCGAAAAATATATTGACAGACCGGAGAGCTACAGTGCCACCCATTGAAAAAAAACTGTAAATTGATTGCACACAAAAAGTTGCGCTTATTTCTGGATTAATTCTTCCAAATTCTTACCTCATTTATAAAAAAAAAAAACATATTTCAAGAAATTCCTTACGCATCTGTCAAGTACCCTCGTAGACGACATTTTCACGAAGCATGTTGGACCGAATTATCTTGCAAACCAAACTGGTAGTATATATGGATTTAATTTTCGATGATCTTAACTCCAGGGCCAGGAGGGCTATGAACAAAAATTTTAAGGGATGTTTTGTCGTGGAATAAGTGAAATAATTTGTTAGGAACACACGAGTAGTAATATTTTGAATTGACAGTTTAAAAACAATGGAGAAATAAATCGAGAAACAGCGCACTTTTTTGTGCGCAATAAATATACGGGTTTTTTTTTTTAATGGGTGACACTGTAACTCTCCAGTCTGCATGTCAATATATTTTTTCGGAGAGCTACAGTTCTGCAGCTATTGGATTACATGCACAGAATGTTTATTTTAGTTAATTATATAATTCGGTTTTTACCTGACAAACTAATGTATTAAAAAAGATGTTAAATAATAAAACAGTCATTTATTTATATTTTTTAATCGATGTCATTTTCTAATAAAGTGTCATCAAACAATAGATCCTTGAAAAATTGTTCTGTAAATACAAGATTAGTGTAAAATATCGAGCTAAAACTTATAGTCTAAGACTCTTTAAAATATGCGGAATTTAAAAACTGCATTACAAAAAACCTTCTCAGAATTAGCTTTTATTCGGTAAATATGTATAATAGACAATAGAGGATATTAAAACACAAGTGGTTTGACAGAAGGAAGAACAAGGATTAAGAAGATAGTTTTACAAAGTGGCTGCATGAGAAATCGTTACAATTACTTTCTGTCTTCATATAACGTTTGTTACAGAATGAACTATTGTTTAAATATCAAATAAAAAAAAATTCCCTAAAACATCACCCATTTTTTCATTTAAGGTTTGTATACACATGTATCGTGAAATCTCACTTTGAACTGTAAAAACAAGATATTTTCTGGAATCGATTTAAGAAATTTATGTGAGACTATATGGTAGGTCCCAAATAAATGATTCATATTTCTGTACAAACTGATGAATATTTGATGAAGTTTTGTTAAAATCTCTGTTTCTTTCGTTAGCTGCCTTTATTAGACCACGAACGCCTCACCACGTATCGTGAGCTACGGTTAGCCCACCTCATGTTATGCGCCATCGCTACCGGATACATATGGCAGGAAGGAGACCAGGGAGTTCCGAAAGTAAAGGGTTGATTATATTTTATAATATAAAATATGATCTAATATTTGATGAGACAATGTCCACAAACGACATATAACCCTGTACCGCCCGATTTTTAGGTGTTGCCCCGTGCCCTGGCTGTGCCGTGGTGTGGAGTTTCCAGGCGGCTCGGCCTTCAGCCAGTAATAAATCACGCCACATTCTGTCTTGCAAACGCCAAAATCAAGAACCCAGAAAGGTGCAACTTAATTCTGCTTCAGCCAAACGTTCAAATATTTTTCTTTCTGTTATTGATAACGGTGGAATTATCTTAAGTAATACTATTATGATCTATAAATTTTGCTCTTTTTCCAGGCCTGTCGACTTGTCGTAAGTATATGGCATATCCATCATTGTCGATTTTCCTTTGATTGCAGAATTATTTTTCAACTCTGTGTGTGTCTGTGTGTTTTTATTTTGAAGTAACTTGAGGTGTGTTTACGAGGTGGTGCCGGGTGGAAGACAGGCTGAATGGTTCATCATAGTCACCGCCATGATAGAACATGACTTCGCTCCCGCCATTACGGTACAGACTCTAGCTTAGAATTTCATCTCAAATTTAAAAATTTTATGATGTATTTTTGTTTTATATAGATGTGTATTTAATTTTGTTGGGCACTATATAAACATGCATGTGTATTTTTCAGATGATCATGGAAGCCATTTCCGCTGCAGACAAAGATGACGTCACCATGTACAAGAAATCAATGGCGGGAATCAGAGATGTAATAAACAAAATGAAGAATACATTCTCAAGAATGCATGGTAAATGCTTCTATCTTCAATAAAGATGTGACTTACCAGAAAATGTTTCCACCATTTATTCGTATATTGCACTGATCGATATAAACAAAATGAAAAATGTAATAGAATCCTTCATACTTGAATACTTGAAGATAAATATTTAATAATACGAGGGATAAACAAGCTTAGAGAATTGTTTATTTTTCCTTTAATATGCTTTTGAACACACATACACATTTTATTATATTATTTGAACACACACAAATTATTTATTGCAACACAAACCTTATACAAATTGATATGAAGTCGAATCAAAATAATTGGTTTTTGCAGAATGTTGCAGCTATGAATATTACAGATTTATGTCTTTTTTAGATGAATTAGACGCAGACGTCTTTTATAATGTCCTGCGTCCATATCTAAATGGGTAGGTTTACTGACATCTCCAAGTTCCCATGATATGATATCTCTACGTATGCTGATATAATTTTTAACCACGAGTGAATACTCAAATAGAATTCCCTTTTCTATTTATTATAGATGGGGAGGGAATGGATCGTCCCTCCCGGAGGGTTTAATCTACGAGGGGGTCTCAGACGAACCCCAGAAGGTAGAATTTGATAATAAGTAAATTTACAGAAAGGTTGAGACAGTTAACTCAAATAAATGTACTGAAAACTTCAAGGGAAAACAATGTTCGAAACGCCTTTATAATGTATCTGGTGTGTGTTCTGTTCTAGATGATTGGGGGTAGTGCTGCACAAAGCAGTTCGCTACAGCTAGTAGACGCTGCCTTGGGGATAAAGCACGATAAAGGTAAACCCTAATGGATTTAGGAATACTTTGTCAGAGAATGCTCATTAAATTAAAGATTCAGATTGGTTACGAGAAGTTTTTTGGCCTCCAACAAGCTCATATTCGACCAGTTTGTTAAAAAGATATAAAAAACAACGCCTTCCATTAGGTCCCTGCTTCTACAGGGTGTACAATAAGCTGCATGTTCCTTATTTTCTGACTGTTCAGCCAATGCCTCTTCCACTTTATATTCACTAATAATCTTCTATCACAGATATCGAGGATTTTTTGAACAAAATGCGTTCCTACATGCCGCCTAAACACGTGGAGTTTATAGAGATGATTTCTAGACAGACCAACCTCAGGCAGTACGGTGAGACCCCTATCTATCATTCTCTCCGAATTCTATATTGTAAAGTTGTTAAAGTCTTTGTTTTCAGCACCGTTATAAGGTTCATTTCTTAATATCACATTTCATTAGTAAATCAATGTTGATGGTAACTGTCTGTTATTTACAAAAGCAGCAGGGGACCGCGGAGGGGACATCAAACTCTCCTATAATGAAGCAGTTCAGGCAGTCGTTAACTTCCGGTCCTATCATATACAGATCGTCACCAAGTAAGTTATACATATACATACAATCATGAAGGCTCGATCCATAACAAACATCAACGTACACAGTACGTATTTAGTCTACCGTATTGTTAACCACTTCCCGTTAATTAGTGCCGCATACATCCCTATATATACATGTAACTTCATGCTGTGAAGAACTTCCGGTTTAACTGTAAAGTTGTTGACTTTCATTGCATTGTCTACACTATTTATTGATTTTCGTACGTTAACATGCCTATCCGAACTTCAGATAAAGCGCAGACAAACATAAATTTAATACTTGTATGCCTTTTTAATTTAGGTACATCATAATTACGTCAAACAAGGAATCAAGAAGCCGAGACTACGAGTCCGTGTCCAAGAAAGGCACAGGCGGATCCAGTAAGTTCTCTTTAGATTGGGCGTGTACTCATTTCGATTTCGTTAATTCATCAGATATGGTGACTTCTGTCTTCAACTTCCAGGTTTGGTTCCATTCTTGAAGTGTATACGTGAAGCTACAGTTAGAACACTCATAGACTGAAGGTTGTAGTATTACTTTAAATTGGACTCCTTGCAGCAACAACTTTACATGTTAATAAAATTTCCAGCAGGACAACATCAACAAGGGATCAAAAATTATAATCTAAAATGATACTAGTTTATACTTAAATAAAACATTATTATCTTATATTGTTAAAATTATTTTTGCTGGACTTGCAAAGGAATAGCAAAGAAATCCTGTGGGTCAAACTCAAGGATCAAATTCAAAAGGATAGCGGAGGAATCCAAAGGTTATATAGGCAGGATCTAACTTACAGGACATGAATCCTAAGATTATGTACATGTGTAGGCAAAATCAAAATAGGAGGGATATTAGAAAGGAACCCTTACATTAAAAAGTCAGGATCAAGCTCACTTGGATATAAAAGACGACTCTCAAGATTTTATAGGCAAGATCAGAATCACAGGAATAAAAGAGAGGAACCCTTGGATTATGTAGGCATTAGGCAAGATCAAACTCAAAGGGAAGGGATAAAAGAGAGGAACCCTTGGATTATGTAGACAAGATCAAACTCACAGGAATATAAGAGAGGAACCCTTGGATTATGTAGGCAAGATCAAACTCGAAGGAATATAAGAGAGGAACCCTTGGATTATATATGTAGACAAGATCAAATTCACAGGAATAAAAGAGAGGAACCCTTGGATTATATATGTAGACAAGATCAAATTCACAGGAATAAAAGAGAGGAACCCTTGGATTATATATGTAGACAAGATCAAATTCACAGGAATAAAAGAGAGGAACCCTTGGATTATATATGTAGACAAGATCAAATTCACAGGAATATAAGAGAAAGAGAGGAACCCTTGGATTATATATGTAGACAAGATCAAATTCACAGGAATAAAAGAGAACCCTTGGATTAAATATGTAGACAAGATCAAACTCACAGGAATAAAAGAGAAAAACCCTTAAGGAATTATATATGTAGACAAGATCAAATTCACAGGAATATAATAGAGTAACCCTTGGATTATATATGTAGACAAGATCAAATTCACAGGAATAAAAGAGAGAGGAACCCTTGGATTATATATGTAGACAAGATCAAATTCACAGGAATATAAGAGAAGCTTAAAATATGTAGACAAGATCAAACTCACAGGAATATAAGAGAAGCTTAAATTATGTAGACAAGATCAAACTCACAGGAATATAAGAGAAGCTTAAATTATGTAGACAAGATCAAACTCACAGGAATATAAGAGAAGCTTAAATTATGTAGACAAGATCAAACTCACAGGAATATAAGAGAAGCTTAAATTATGTAGACAAGATCAAACTCACAGGAATATAAGAGAGAAACCCTTGGATTAGGTAGGCAAAATCAAATTCACAGGAAAATAAATGAGTAACCCTTGGATTATGTAGAAACGATCAAACTCACAGGAATATAGGAGATGGATTCTAAGATTATGTAGACAAGATCAAACTCACAGGGAAAGCATAGGGATTCTAAGATTATATAAAGTCTTGATTAAACTCACATGGATTGATGGATATGTGTATATGGTTTCTTTTTTAAAACCAGAAATTGTGGACAAATTGACGGAACAGATAAGGCGAGAACGATAAAAAAAAATTTCGTATATGAAAAAAAAATTCTTGTTTCCACGAGATTTTGTGACGTAGTTAAAAAGTGTCGACTTACGACATTTGAATCTAGTATATTTTCTACAAATAAAGCACCCCTTTAACTGTGTTTAATGAATTTAAATATCCCCAACAAAGCATGCAGATTTGGTATATTGTCATTTAAAACATTATTACAAGTCATCTAGCTTCTTTTAACAGTTAAAATCGAAACTCGGAACTTCCGTTATTCCGTTCAATATTTTCCTTATTATTTTGTTCGGTTTATTGATTCCATCTTACTGTGTATGGACCTTTTTTTCTCTCTCTCTTAATTTAATGTATTTTGGTGTTTATATCAGACACTTTTCAAAGTCGGGGGGTGTTCTGTATATACAAAACAGGTGCCCGTGGTTTATATGTTTGTTCAAATTAACGTCATATGATAATTAATTTCTCTTTCCGGGAAATCTCAGAGACGGAAGTGTGGGACAAAAAAAATCCTTCGGGTAAGAAAAGGTCTTATAATGGGGCGGGAAAGGTGTGTACGTAAGTGTTTATTTTCTTAAATCATGATTTAATTATAATTTACATTGGCCATGTTGATAAAGCATGCATTAATACATGTTAGTACATATGTTGATTTTGTGTTATCGGAGTTAAAAATAGCGATTAAATATAAACATCGCTTTTCCATGGTATTTATACACCTTACATCAGTGGTGGATATTATACATGTCCTATAATTATTTTCAAAATATTTATACTTTGCCCTCGTGTTTTCACAGAACTACGACCTCCCCTGACTTAAGAAGACATCAAGTGGTTAGATTAATTGTGAAAAATCTCCCTTTTTCTAATAGAGAGATGATCGAATAAAAAACAACATTAAGATGAAACATTAATAGGAAATATTGACAATACATATCAACAATTGAATATAGGCACTTGCAACATCTTAAGAATCATAATTTTAGTGTGTGTGTGTGTGTGTGTGTGTGTGTGCTCAGCACGTAAAGCCTTGCCATCAAGTTGACTGGAGTGTTAAAAATATTAAAAACAACACGTTATTGTAAAGTCACACAATTATTAAAAAAAATTGTTCAAAATAGATGTTATTTAAAATTGTTAATACGTCATCATATGCATCTTTTGTCTGCAAATTAAGTGTTTCAGTTTATAAAAAAATTAAAATCTGATACATTATTTTTTACGAAGTCTAAACGAAATCTAGCAGATATTTCTTTTTTATAAATCTAAATCTGTTTTTATAATCCTGGGAGGTCTTCCCCTCCGTACTTTCCCTCTCGACTGTCGAAGTCCTCGACGGAATACATAACAAAATAGAGTTTATTTTCAGTAAATACATAAATTTGATATTCATCAATTATTTTTTCAGACATGGACCCGTTTCTGTGGATGGTCCCTATTTCAGTTTCACGAGGATGCAGACCGCGTTTGCCCCAGAAACACGACTTGGAATCTTTGCGAAATTTTCTGAAAAATGGAAACACACGTCGTGACATGGTCAAAGCTTTACAAACAATCGGGCTTTTTGATCGGAGTCTGGATTCGGACTCAATCACACCCGAAGAAATATTCCAGTTTCTTGTTTTCGAAGTTCACTGTTTTGAGTCTGTGGATGATTTGGCCAGACGTCTGTTCGACTATGGTTTTCACAATCTGACCAGAATTCTTTATATGCATTACTTGCAAACAGAAAACAAGTCCAATTCCCTCGTCACTGTTAAGCGATCAGTACCCCAAAACAAAAAGACAATTCACATTTTCTTTAAAAATCTAAAACGTTTGGTTCACAACGCACAGTTTAAAAATCCTAGAGAGTTCTTCAGGAGACAAGCTCGACAACTGCGGAATCAGATAGGACAAGAAAGGACAGAATCGAAAAGGCAATTTCTGACCGACAAATACATAGCGTTGTTGGGAGCAGAAATTGATCCTATTGCGATCACATATGACACAACGCTACCAGACCAAAATATATTTGAGGAACTGAAGGCTCTTGCCGGCACATCAACTGATGCGTCCATATCTGAGGTTGTTTTTTACGGAAGGAAAGCCAGCAAAATTTTCTGAAGGTGAAAACATGGTAAAGCAAGCCCACTGTTGCGCCAACTTTACTGGGCCGTGTCTAGAGATAGCCAACATGATATACATAGATGTTTACTTTAAGTTGTGGCAGTTTGAGCAGGCGCCGACGGACGAATTGAAGGAGTCGCTCCTGTTTGAAGGCAGCAAAGGATTATGGGCCCTGAGCGAGGAGGAGGAAAAAATTAGAAACCTTTGGAAGAGGATGTTCCTGCTGAGGATGATCTTCTGTCTGATAGGACTCAGTAACAAAGGCCGCTGTATCCCAGGCTGTGTCATTTCTAAGGAAGATGTGGAGAGAGCAGAGCGGTATATGCACGAAATTGATTTAAAGGACATTGAGGCGCGAAGGGAGATGATGTATTATATAGCCAAGGCGCGGATTCAGGAACTAAAAGGACAATTCTACGATGCATGTATCGAAATTGACAAGGCGTCAGAGATAGCACATTCTGGAAATTTTAAGGAAATAGACTCAATAAATGATTACAGATCTCTCTTGATAGACCTGGATTCGGAAACTGAAGCGAAAACAATCAACGATGAGGAATCTGTTGATTTGGGTGAAGCCCCTGCATTAATTTCCTTTTCAGAGTCAATAGAGCTGACGGATGTTGTGAGTTTTACAGGAACAGAGACGGCGTCCTCTGATCGTAGCTGTAATTCTCCAGAATCTCACCCTTTCAGTGATTTGTCAATGGAGTCCACGACCGAAAACACGTGGTCTATTTTAGGGGGACAGTTCCCTTCTGCCTCATCTCCTGTGGAATCAGAACTGGTTCCGTGTTATCCACAAATCAGAGTAGAACCAGTACAGGAAACAGATGTTCAAATTATACCCAGAAGCTCTCTGGATATACAGAGTGCACCGGATCTTAGAAATTCTTCCGTGTTACGTCACAGGAATGACGTAATTAACAGTGAAACCGGAGGACAAGAAGTAACTCGTGCAAGATCTGCTTCTTCCTATGATATACCGTCTGCTGACAACATTAAATTATCTCCTGCTTCCTTTGAAAATGACTGACATGATGTTTATAATGGAATTTTTGTAAGCTTAATAATATGTTTTGCTGACGGTGTAGCCGATCATGGGACAAGCGCAGTTTTGTATTTATAGGAGGAAAACATCAAAACCTCCAACACACATATCCTCACTCGGCACTAAACATCTGGATATAGTTAGATGCATTATACCTAGATCACATGAGTTATATCATTAAATTAATATAAAAGTTTTCTTTTCCATGAAGTGTAAAATTCTGACAAAGAAAGTTTTCAACTTTATATATTTTCAGGTTCGAAATGGTTGCTCGAGCGCTAGCAACTACGTTAGTGCAGATTTCTGGAATACGCATGCTCGGCTTCACGGTCGGGCATTCTGGGAAAATTTCTCGGTCTAGCTGTGAAAACTAATATAGATAGACCACATGATAACAATT